CACCTGAAAAATCAAAAACTTGTCACATTCCATATCTCAGCAGCCAGAACTGAAAACATGAGATGTTGGAAAGCAGGAGATGTTTAACTGAGCAACTGGTGGAAGAGGATTTGGGACACATGGTTGTCAGAAAAACTCTCGTACATCCTCTTGCAATGGACAAGAGAAGGTACACACATTTTTTGAGGATAGGTCTGTTTTTATTGAATATACTAATAACAACATGAACAATATTGAACCTCCAACCTGTCAGACTATCTTTTGGAGGGACACTCTGGACTAGGTTCCATCAGCTGCAACAGAGTGAGATGACACCCTGGACTCTGACTATTATGGATATCTGAGGATAAATCATCTTCTTGTAAAACTCTTTTTTGTTGACCCCCCCAAAGGCTCTTAGAATGTATTTTGTGTTGATTATATTGATTGTTTGCAAAGCTATTAATACAATCCATTAAAAACTTTTTTTAAAAAAGAATAATAATGAAACCAGAGAAAGGGGAGAAGCATGACAGATGCCATTTAAGAGAAGGGAAGGAGATAATCAGAGGACAAGTAGAGGCTGCTACTGTGCAGGGAAGGCACACAGGGAAATACTGTTGGCATAATCAAAGACTTACAAAATAAAAGGGTTGTCTGAGCCAGTGTGGCATAGAGGTTTGAATGTTGGATTACACCTCTGGAGACCAGGGTTAGATTCCCAGATCGGCCATGAAACCTCCTGGATGACCTTGAGCAAGTCACAGCTCTCAGCCTCAATGGAAGGCAAGGGCAAACCTCCTCTGAATAAATCTTGCCAAGAAAACCCATGACAGGATTGCGATAAATTGGAAACTACTTGAAGGCACAGAACAACAACAACAGAAACAACCCCTGACTGGAGGCTTCCAGACACACAAGGAGAAAAAGGATATTGTCCATATGCTTGTTTAATAAAATTAATGCTAAGCCTTTATAAAGTATTTTGAATTTCTGCCATGCTGCTTTTTAAGGCTTCTCTAGCTAGCCAACTGACTAGACAGGGCAGTAAGTCCCATCTATTGAATTATAGACATTTTATTTTATTGTGTTATTGTGTTATTGTTGTTTTTAAATATGTATTAGATTTTATGCTGTTGTGATTTAATTGTAATTTTAAGGGGGGGGGATACATGGCTGTTACCCCTTTTAATGTAAGCTGCCTTGATAGCTTCGGCTAAAGGCGGGGTACAAATAAAATTCTATTATTATTATTTATTGTAAGTCTTGATCAGATGGCAGCCAAGTGAAGGTTGGGTGTTTATGGTCCCTCTCTAGCTGAATACCGTGCAGTGGGGGGAAAAGTCACCCCGCTGTCCATGTCAGTAAAGATTTTTGTTTAGAGAACACAGGCAAAAATGGGAGTCAAGTCTTCTCTTTCAAGGGAATGAACTTTGTCCTCCAGAAATACCCATCCTTTCAAGAACATTTTTACAATGCAGTTTTACTGGGTAGTGTCAGATGAGTGGTATTTTGCTGTTGTCTTCGGGATGAGGGGAAAAAATCAAACAAAAAGAGCACGTAAATTTAAAGTCCTAATAATAAGCACCTGCATGGTTTTGGAGGGGGGTATCTGTACAAAAGAGAGAAATCAGTAGCATGTTAGGTATACATAGGAGGTATCAGATAGCCAGGAAGCACCAGGGCTTGGATAGAGCCATGGGTGGCTGCATCCTAATCATCATTTAAAATAATTCCCACTCCCCTTTCCCCCCAGTGAGTGTGTCTATGGGCCTTTGCAGACTGCTAGAAATAGTGCAAATTGAGTCCACTTTAAGGGTTAGGGTTAGTGCTAGGGAATCATGGGAATTGTTTTTTTTCTGAAACATTGAGCCTTCTCTGTCAGAAAGCTCTGGTGCCATAATAAACTACAGTTCCCATGATACCCTAACCCTAACCCTAAAAGTGGACTCAATTTGTACTATTTCTAGCAGTCTGCAAAGGCCCTAAGTTTCACTACTGGAATGCGGAAGTCCAGCTGAGTTCCAACTGAGCTAGAATCTGAACTACAGTTAATATTAGCTGCTTATGATTAAGGAACAGAAGACTACCCAGCTCCTAGGATTTATACCAATGGAGAAGTTTAATCTTCCTTGCCAATCTTGCTCTTTTGTGCATGAAAGGGGCTCTGAAATCTGAGCATGTATAACTCCCTAGCTTTGGTACTTGAGGTTGCTGGTTCAGGCCCTGGAGCCTTCAACTATGGGAGAGTAACAGCTTGGGATGAAGGTATATTGGGGGTAATTCTGATGGTTCAGAGCCTGGCAATGGGTTTGGAGTGTAGCTCAGTAAGCTAGACATGTTGCAGTTCATTGAGTCTTAGCTAGATAGCTCTCTCTTTTCTTCCCCTATTTGCTGAGAGTGACGCATGTTTTAATTTGGGTTAGATGTTTTAAAACTTAGTGTTTTTAATCAGATTTTAATGTTGATTTAATTCAATTTATTTTAAGGGGGGTTATATGTTTGTTGTATAGTTTGGGTTTTGCGATTGTTTTTAAATATAAGCCGCCTTGATAGCCTTTGCTAAAGGCGGGGTATAAATAAATAAATTATTATTATTATTATTATTATTATTATTATTATTATTATTATTATTATTATTATTATTATAGAGGCCATGAAGCCCTCTCCCAGCCCTTTCCCATTTTGAGCTTAGCTACTGAGACTTTTGTGCTCACTTGATCCTGTAACAGTACATCCATGTAATGCACCTCTCCTTGATTTTTGATCTTTTTTCTTTAAAGAAAAGAACCGTACCCTCTTTGTGTTCTATTTGGAAATATTTTAAACAATGTAAAATTTAAAAAGTGCATTCAAACTACAGCATATAAATTCTGTTCTAAACAACCATCAACCAATTGTTATGAAAGGGGTAAACAACAAAGTGTGTGTGGTTCAAAACAGAGATTTGAATGCATTTCAGAGTGAAGCACAAGACACACAAACATTCCCTGAAAACAGACTAAACATTTTTTTAGAAACAGTGTTTAAAAAGGACACAATTTAAACAGTCCCCAAGTCAATCTTGGTTTTCGGGGCCAAAAGCCAAATGGAAGCAGTTTTAATAAGGGAACCTATAATGAGATTTTCTTGGCAAGATTTGTTCAGAGTGGGTTAGCGTGACTTGTCCAAGGTCACTCAGTGGGTTTCCCTGGCTGAGTAGGGATTTGAACCCTGGTCTCCATTGTTATATAGATCAATGCTCAAGCCACTACACCACACTGCCTCTCTATAGCTGGGTTAGAACTGTGATTTTCAACCTGTTTTCCATGGTACCACAAGGCTTGACCACATGTTGATCAAAAAGGGGGAACAAGTTTCTAGAAGGCAAGTTTCCTAACACTCTAACATTCCCTTGTAAAGTGCAGCCAAATGGAGATGTTGGTTATGCTACAGCAGGGGTAGGCAACCTTTTTGAACCGGGGGCTGGGTTGCTGTCCCTCAGACAATTGGGGGGGCCGAAGCACCAAAAATAAATAAATAAATAAATACATAAAAAATTTAAACAAAAAAAAATTTAAAAAAAATGCATGCACACTCTCTCAGCCCCAGTAAAGCCATGGCAAAACCCCTGTGGATATTTTGCCAAGAAAACCCCAAGAACAAGTAATAACAACAATATTACGGCAGCACGGCAGCGGCGCCAGGACCGGCCTGGGGCCAGTCCAAAGGCCTCGGGGGGCCGCATCCGGCCCCCGGGCCTTAGGTTGCCTACCACTGTGCTACAGGGTGTGCTCCAGTGTTGTCTGTCATCAGAGTAGGACTTTGGGCTCCCTGAAGCAGGTAGGACTGCTGTCCACAGAAGTAGGCTGATGAAGTCCAGAATAAAAAATCCTATAATCTCTGGCCCTGCCAGCACACAATAGGCCTGGCTAGAATTTCATAAGCACCCTAGAACTTTTGCAAGTTCTTTCTACAATGCTCATGAGTTTCATAAGAGATACACCACATAATATGCCACATGAGTCAATTTGGAAAGGACTACCTAAAAACAGAAAGTCTGAAAACTACTGGCTCTTAGAGAATACAGAGTGCTTGGCAAATGGATTCATGATCCAAATGCCAGGAAGGTCTCTTGCATAAGTCCCTTTAAAATTAATGGTACAGTAGCACTCTCCTGCAGCTTGCAGTCATTTTAAGGGTTTGCTAAGGAAACAAGATAATGTGAAAGTGAATGGTAAAGACAGGGGTAAGTTGTGAAAGCTGATTGGTAACAGACAGCATTAAACAGATCAATTAGTTCCCTGCTTTAGGAACATTTTTGTAAAAGCCTCAGGAACATTACTTGGATGGGTTATTTCAAGTATCACCCCCCCACCCCCAGTATAAATGTACACACACACATATAAGAGGAGGGAATCTCAACAGACACATCCTTCATCTTTCTCTTCGCTGCCTTTATCTGGAGGCCAAGACCTTTGGAGGGAACAGGAGAGGGTGAAGCTTGTATCAGCTTTCTCCACCAGTCACTACTACATCTGGCAAGCAGATTCATCATCCGTTCAAACCTCTTCTATTAATAGTAATAGCTGAAAAATTAATTCAGAAAAGCATTTCATGCCATGATCTTGTTCATCTTTCCAATGGCCCTGTCAGATAGATCTTTATTATTTATGTTGTTTACATTTGAAGACGTTTTCATCAGAGTTCATATATTCAGTTGTGTTGTCAAGTGTAATTATGTGGTTACATGCATGCATAGTATGAACCAAACCAGAGGATCCACAATTAAGAAAGGATGCAAACCCAGGACTTTGGCATCTCAATGTCATCCAATATGAATGCAAGTTTCAGTGTCAAGCAAATATAAACATATTGGCCCATGAGAATAAAACAAACAAACATAAATACAATCAAACAAAATCCATAAGATAGGCAGTACCTTCATTTGTTGCTGTGTGCCTTCCAGTCATTTCTGACTTATGTCAAATTTATAATGGGGTTTTCTTGGAAAGATTGGTTCAAATAATGTTTACTGTTGCCTTTGTCCGAGGTTGAGAGAGCATAACTTGCCCAAGGTTATCATGTGGGTTTCCATGGCTGAGGTCTCCCAAAGTCTCCCAGAATCCAACACTCAAAACTTGTGCAGCAATAGAAACCCATTGTGAGAACTTGGGCAGGTTACCTGCTCTCAGCTTGAGGAAGGCAGTGGCAAACCGACACTGAACAAATCTTGTCAAGAAAACCATAGGACAGGATCGCCACAAGTCAGAGTCGACTTAAAGGCACATCACAACAACTCAACTGTCCTTCAGTATAGCTTCCAGGGTGGTCTACAAAAACATGATAAAATGCAGAGTGTAAGAGGGGTTGCAGACTGCCAGAAATAGTGCAAATTGAGTCCACTTTTAGGGTTAATGCTAGGGAATCATGGGAATTGTTTTTTTTTCTGAGACATTGAGCCTTCTCTGTCAGAGAGCTCTGGTGCCACAATAAACTACAGTTCCCATGATTCCCTAACCCTAACCCTAACCCTAAAAGTGGACTCAATTTGCACTATTTCTGGCAGTCTGCAACCCCCCTAAGTTTGCAGGATATAAATAAAATAGAAAATGACGATGCAAACAATAATAACTTAAACATTAACATCCGTTTATAAACTTGAGAAAATGTATCTTCCTAGTGCTGAAAAGATAACGATGTTGGTAACAGGGAAGCTCCTTTGGGGAGGGAATTCCACACACAGGTTGTCACCACTGTGAAAGCTTTCTGTCTGGCGACCGACCGACCACCTTCCATCAGCTACAACCTGATCTCTGCTGCCGCTTGGTCTCTGCTGAGAGAGCAACTCCTCCCAAATTGTTTTGTTTCTGTTCAAGGTGATCATTACAAGAAAAAAGACAAGAGAGAAACTGGTTTCAAAAAGGTCTTGAACTTTGTTATAAAAACATAACACTTTTCAGAAATGTAGCTTTTCCTCCTTTAGGATCAACTTGACTTTTTGGCTCTTGGGGGTCACTCCTTGGAGCATTATCACATGAGAAAAGAAAGCTGAAATGGAGCCAGAGAGAAGTGGCTTTCTCCTTGCTTCTCCACATGCTATTGAAGCACTTCTCTTCCTGAGGGAGATGGTCATAAAAGAGTGTCTTTTGTCGTGCTGGAAAAATCTGTTTGGCAAAAGGCACGCTTTTAGGGCCATCTCCCTCAGGAAGGAGAATGGAAGTGTTACGACAGCATGTGGAGTAGCAAGGAGAAAGCTGCTTCTTTTCAGCTGTTTCGGCTTTCTTTTCTCACATGATAAGGCTC